CCTGGGTCTACTGAGCGAACTAGCCGAGGCCTTCTCGCAGGCTATTGACCAGAACGGCCTGACCAAGCCAGACATCGTGGCTCCTTACGTGTTGGAAAACGACACTGGCTTCGATGTTAACCTGAATCTGCGGAAGGGCATCTTTACACTGCACGAAGTTCACCGCGGCGGCACACCTGCGGGTACGAGTACCCTACTTTTGTTTACCCAATCCGAGGAGGTCGACCCCAGTGTAATAAAAACATGCACAATTTCGTCGGGCGGAAAGGCGTATCTGCAGACTAAGGACCTCAGCACGTTATCAGAGGAGGATTCCGAGGACTACACTCTTTATGTGACGGTGGGAAGAAATGTTGTTCTGTCCTCAGTTCTCTTTAACCTTTTTTTTTTTTGCAGATTGGGGATATCAACAAGGAGATCGCACTGCCCGTTTCCAAGTCGGATACGCGTTTTTTCAACCTGATGCGTAGTACTTCTCATGAGGCTTTGGGCATTATTTCTGAAGTAAAGCAGGAGTACGGCACAACCAAAGTCAATATCCACGGTGTTGTCAGTGTAAGTACTAGTAATTAGGTCTTCTATACAATTTTCTCAACTCTATTTCCATTCATCGCAGGTTCATAATCATTTTACGACCGGAGTGAATATTTATCGACGCAATCCTGCCCCTACTGCACAGTGTTTTGAGGATATTTTCGTCGGACGTGTGCGTCCCGGTGAAGTGTTCCATGTACCGCTGCACGCCATCTACGCAGAAGCCAAGGAGCTATACTTTTCAATGCACGGATACAGAAGATCGATACAGGGCATTTCGTGGGCCTCCAATCCCTCGGACCTTAATTATTCGCATCAGCTGCATTGTGATCCAACCAATACGTTTGAGCCACTTATCATTAATGCTCGACGAACCAAATCGGAGGTGTACTTCGAAAACACCAACAAGTATACATTGCTAAGCGCTTTCTACACGATTCATCTGCGCCCGCCACTCTATCTGCGTAACTCTCTGCCCATTAATATCCAAGTGTCAGTTGCCGGTTGCTCTGTCCGAAAAGAGGATGGCTTGGAGGCTCAGTCGTCGCAGCGCATGGTTGACAGAGGGTACAGCAAGGAAGATTTTCTGGACTACGGAGAAAAGCCTGTAAATTCCGGCGATGTGCTCCACCTGCCGACCGTTCGATTGGCCTCAAAGGGCAAGGAATCGAAAAGTTTCCTAGTTGTGCGGGTGAGTATTGCTCAATTTATAAAAATTGATTTCAACCAATAAGCACTTTCCTCCACAGCTGGTTCAATATCTGGAGAAAGACTGGTCCTGCGCTACCGAGATCTGGGATTACCCTGAAGATGTTATTACCTGGACGTTTTCATCATATGACTCGGAAATGAAGGTGGACATGGATCTCTATGTGAAGTAAATGTTAATTATTCACTTTAATTATCAAATTTAATGGCACTCAAAATATTTCACAGGACAGAGAACCGACATGGCAGCTTGATGCTTACGCTATTTAGCCCTTTTTGGATGATAAATAAAACCGGAATGATGCTTACTTACAAATCGGAAACGACCTCCGTGGAGGTTCTCTACCATCCTCCCGAATATTCTGGACCCATTTTGTTCACTTTTCGGGATAAGTTATTCTTTGACAAGAAAAAAGCATCAATTCGCATAGACAATGGTCAATGGAGTGAAAAGATTCCGTTGGACGTGGCGGGTTCGGTGGGCGAAGTGATTTGCTTTGCGAACGATCAGAAATACCCTGTCGGTGTGCACAACCACTTGACTCAGAACTCTTTGACCAAGCAGATCACGTTCATCCCCTTTTATATTGTGTGCAACAAGTGTCACTTTGACATAGAGCTGCAGGAGCAGAGCCGTCCAGGCGACCCATGGCTCCACCTCGAGCCGAATCAGATGGAACCTCTCTGGCCGAGGAACGACGCCAAAAACAACTTAGTGGTTCGCGTGGATGGCAAGTTGACTCCGGCGTTTGACTTTACGGAGGTGATCTGCACGCTCCTGAAATTGGAGGACAGCAAGTACGGCGGCATCAATGTAGACGTTCAGACAACGGAGGGCGGCGTCTATATAACCTTTACGGACTATAAGCCAGCCGATGCTCCCGGCCTGCTGATTAATCACACTGGCAAGCAGATTGTTTACTACGAGAAGGGAACTAAAAACGAGAATATCCTGAATGCAAAGAGTACTATAATGTATGCCTGGGATGACCCTACAGGTCCGAAAGTTCTTGTGTTTGGCTCAAACAAAGAAGAGACGGACCTGAAACGAGACGGAATTGGCGAAGTGATGTAAGTATCTTTTAAGTGCAAATCTATATCTCATAATTGAAAATTCAAACTCATAGAATGCAAGACGGCGAAAAGGTTCTATGGGTATCTTTCCTTGACGGGCTGCAACGTGTGCTGCTTTTTACGGAAAACGAATCAATCGCCAATCGCACGGAGAGCACTGCCTCGTTACAGTCTATTACCCAAAGCATTGATCTGCGTATTCACGGCATTGGCTTGTCAGTGATTAACAATGAGACGGGCCTTGACATTCTTTATCTGGGAGTTACCAGCTCTGGCATTATATGGGAGTCAAAGAAAGTGTCCAAGAATCGCTTTAAGGAGTTTACCATTAATGAAAACGCACTTTTGGAAATTGAGTATCAGAAATATCTAGTTCACAAGAGTGTCAACGATCTGCAGACCTACAAGCTAGACAACAAGTTCCCGGTAAGAAAATCCAAAAAGGTCCATAGCATTCGGAGATTTTATCGTATATTTTTAGATCGACTTCGAACTTATGATCCTTAAAAAGACGGTGGATAGAAACATAAGACGCAGCTTCTATCCAGCGATTTGGCTGTCCCGCAAGTCGTCACCATTCCAAAGCCAGCTGCATGTGAAAATTAATCGTATACAAGTTGATAATCAGTTCCTGGATCCAATATTCCCCGTAGTGTTGGCGCCAATTCCACCGCCGAAGAGCGTGGCGAACACCACCAGTCTCAAACCTTTTATCGAGTGCAGCATGGTGCAGCGCATTATGCCAAACTCAACTGTGCGTCAGTTCAAGTACGCCAGGATACTGATCCAAGAGTTCCTTTTTAAAGTCGATTTGAACTTCCTTACTGCTATCGCGGAGATGTTTGCCAAGGAAGTCTCAGACGAGGCAGCGGCTAAGCAGTTTCGCCAGGACGTTGAATCTATTGAGCTCCCGCTTTCAGCCTTCTTTGAAGAGCACTCGTTGGAGGAGCAGAAGAGCTTTTACGATAACCTGCATTTGGGTCCGCTCAAGATCCATGTCAGCTTCTCGATGGCCGGGTCGGACACAAAGGCGCTGCCCGGTTTCTTGGGCTCATTGGTCCAGGGCGTGGGTGTGACTCTAACGGACGTTAACGATGTCGTTTTTCGACTAGCCTTCTTTGAGCGCGAGTATCAATTCTTCTCGCAGCAGCAGTTAATCAACGAGATTACCTCACATTACACTGGGCAAGCGTTAAAGCAGTTGTATGTTCTCGTTCTCGGACTTGATGTCCTTGGCAATCCCTATGGCCTCGTGGTTGGTCTTAAAAAGGGCGTCGAAGACTTGTTCTACGAACCGTTCCAGGTAAATCAAACTTAATTATATGTAATTAACACTATAACCCGTTTGGCTTATCATTTTAAAGGGAGCCATCCAAGGTCCTGGAGAATTCGCTGAGGGTTTGGTGCTGGGCGTAAAGTCTCTTTTTGGCCACACTGTGGGTGGTGCTGCGGGTGCTGTGTCTAAGTAAGCTCCTCCATTCGAAGTCTTTTCGGAATTATAATATAAAGTTTCCTTTTTAACCATTAGAATAACTGGGGCTATGGGAAAGGGGTTGGCTGCGCTGACCTTTGACGAGGACTATCAAAAGAAAAGACGACAGGGTATTCAAAACAAACCGAAGAACTTCCACGAAGGATTGGCCCGCAGCAGCAAGGGCCTAGTAATGGTAAGTAGGGTTCCTCATACTTAAATCCTTGGTACTTATAATTTTCTCAGGGCTTTGTGGACGGTGTCACTGGCGTTGTAACCAAACCAGTGACTGGGGCTCGCGATAACGGAGTCGAGGGCTTCTTCAAGGGCCTGGGTAAGGGTGCCATTGGCCTGGTTGCTCGCCCCACCGCTGGCGTGGTTGACTTTGCCAGTGGCAGCTTCGAGGCTGTGAAACGGGCGGCGGATGCAAGCGAGGATGTGAAGCGTATGCGACCGCCGCGTTTCCAGCACTACGACTTCGTGTTGAGACCCTATTGCTTGATGGAGGCGACAGGGAATAAAATAATGAAGTAAGTGTCGATAGCTACTCAATTTTAAGCAGAAGTACAGACACTAACATAAGCAAAAAAAATCTCGTTTCGCAGGGAGACCGACAAGGGTAAATTTGCCACCACAGACAACTTTATTCACTGTGAGGAGATTATCCAGAAGTCTGAGTACTTGGTGGTGACTAATTACCGGGTACTGTACGTGCAACGTAACGAGATGTTTGGCGTTTGGACGGTGAGTTTCACTGTTAACTCTTAGTAGTTGGACTTCACTTATACGTCTATTACACACAGTCTCTGTGGTCCTACCTATGGAACGAGATTAGCTCCGTGACTGCAACGGCTCGTGGTGTCCAGTTCATCGTAAAGACGGATGGAAAGAAGGTACTTGGTATATTTAGCAGCAAGGAGTCCCCTCGAAAGTTAGTGCTCGTGGCAGATGAGCGCAAACGTACCGCTCTTGTGGACATTATAGAATCTCAGCGCTCCGATCCCCATCCGTTAAGGACCACCATCGCCTATCCGGCTAATAATTGACAATAGAACTGAATTCTTTTCCCAACTGTATTATAATCCAACTGTATTATAATCCAATCGCATCCCTACGACACCAGCAACGACATGGAAATCTACCTCGATTATCAAGATTTTTTCTGTCCAAGCACCATGCGCCCAATTGAAAAACTCAAACTTACGTGTCGAAATTTTACGTACGTTAACAACCATTGTTTTGATATTAAAATTTTATGTCAAAGTTAAGTGACATCCGGAGAGTGGTTTTCACTAGCCTAAGAATTAAATCTACAATACAGAGACGAACGAGCTCTCCAGGACGTCGGATGTAAAATAGAAGATGACGGATGTGCGGCAGTCTACACCTTCTTAAGGAAGCTGCTGGGAGTCGTGGCCAGGGGCATGATTGGTTCGTAATTGTTGCAACCATCACTCTCGCAGAAGGATGTCAGCGAGGCGAGTGCGTTGGCGGCCAACGCCTCCACGCTGAACATGGTGGACAAGTGACCGCTGCTCTCAAACTGGTTGATAATCATGTTCACCTTGCTCTTGGTATCCGCCTTCAGGCACGGCGACGTCGGCGGGCTGCCCGGCAGGCCGTGATCGCGATCACCCGGACTTGCATCATAGCCCTCGCCCAGCTCCGCTTCCGTCAGCAGGTTCTCCTTCTCGCTCTGCTTGCACTTGGCGCTGTTCGGTGACGCACTGCCCGTGTTGGTCGCTTTCAATCCGGTGGACTTGTTAAGACGACTGAGGAACCAGTTTCGAGCCAGCTTGTCGCAGTCCTTGCTGACCGGACTGGATTGCGGTGAGGTGGTTGACTTGCGCTGTTTCTTCTGATCCTTGGTGGGCGTGTGGGCGGGGCTGGTCAGGGGAGAGAGCATTTCCGGTTCCGTACTGTTCGAGTAGCTCTTTTTCGATGCCTTTTTCAGACGATCCTGACTGGGACCGGCCATGGACAACTGGGTGGAGAGCTCGCTGTGCACTGTTTTCACCATTGCCTGGAAGTCCAGCGATATGTTTCCGTGCAAGCTGGAAGGCTGCGGTTGCACCCTAATATCTCCCTCATTGAGAAGTCCCAGGGATTCCAGCTCCCCACTTACAGATGCTACTCCGGCGGAGGCGTCCTGCAGCGGCTGAGCCGGACATTTGGGCACATCGTACTCGAAACGCCGGGCAAGGGCGCTGGGACTGTTGTTCTTGTCCGGCAGCTTTGGGAGAACCATGGAGGACGAGTCCATTAGGCCGTATACCGGCGAAGGCTCCTCGTAGATGATATCCGCTGCTGTGTAGGTGGATTTCTTCTGAACCGGTGGCGTGGGCAGTTTCCGGGGCGGTGGACTCTTCAGGGCTGACTGAGCACCGGCATCTCCGCGGATGGCCGCCTCAATGGCGTGTATCCACTCTTTGGCATCGACTTCGTTGTTGGCCTGGTACACGAACTTCTTATTGGGGTCGTCTGTGGTGATCTGGAAGCAGATATCGCGCCGCTTGCCCTCACCGAAGTGCTCTATCTCGATGGAGGAGCTCTTTAAGTAGAGGGTGCTGCTGGGTCGACAGGCGGTCGGCCCGTCGGCATAGCACAGCATCCAGTCGTTCAGGATGCCACAGTAGCACTTGCGGGTCTGGTCGAAGAACAGCCGCTTTGGAACAATCCTCTGCAGCTGGCCGTATTTTGTGGATCTCTGCAGGGACAAGTGGCCAGCGGGCAGATCTGCGTACGGGCAGTCAATGAACAGCTCGTGGGTGAAGGTGATCGCCTGATGCGCCTCGTCCTCGTCCTGACACGTGCCCTGGCCCTGGCAAATCTCATACAGCTGCTGATGTGGCTCCTTGTCCTTGGCTCCCGGAATCGCCTGATTAACGGAGCAACGATCCAGGGATCCGCTGCTGCCCAAATCAATGTACTCTCGCGAGGCGGACACTGCAATTACGGGTAATTAGTACGAGTAGTACGCATAAGGTACAGTTGTGCTTCTAAAGCTAGAGCCTGGCTATCCACAAACAATCGCTAGCAGTTGACTTGCAGTTTAAAAATAGCATCAATATGGGCGGTCAAAAATTTAATTAACCTTGTTGATTCATTTTTAGTAAATATAGCAGCATTATTTTTACAAAATGTAGCATAAAGAAATAAGAACTTTTTTGTTTTTGTCACTAGGTAATTTTTTTTAAGTGTTTTCCATATCCAAGCTGCCAGAACTCTCTTTTAGGATTTTGAAACTTATACCTAAGTAAATGTTTTAACATACGAGTATACGATACTAAAGCTTTTTCTTACATCCTCTGTTATTGTTGTAATGTGGATTTGAACCAGGGAAGCATGACTGTATATAATAGTATGAGTACTCACGGGAGCTTTTCGAGGGGGATGGGGAGGCAAGCATCTCCAGATAGCCGCCAGGACCGGTCTCCGCGCCCACCTTGCTGTCGACGCAGTCGACCAGGCTGGAACGGTGGTTTACTGCCGCCTGCTCGTCTGCGCATCCCAACCCCGGTCCCGGTCCCAGTTCCAATCCCGATCCAGAACTGGCTGCTGCCAGCAGGATCTCGCAGCGGGCCAGAAGTGCGGCGGTCTGCTCGGCGGCTGTCACGTGGAATAGGTTCGAGGTGTTCTCGTACTCCGAGGTTTCCAGCGAGGCTCGGAAGTGGGCGCGGACATCTGAAATGCAAGCGGAGGGGAGGATCGTAAGTTCCAATGTTCGCTCTTGGCTATCAGCTGGCTAAAAAGGGCGGCGGCCCCATCAGCTATTATTTTTAAACGCATCATTGCGCCTAATGGCGGGGCAGTTGAGCAACAGAGTGGCTTTCTTGGGGGGCAATTAGTGGGCCAGTGGAGTGGTGGTGTCTCTTCTGCTCCGACTTCTGCAGCCGTGACTCACTGGGCGGGGAGTGAAGTGCTGGTTCTGCCGTTCCCAGCCAGAAGTCTGGCCACAAACGCATGTACATGTACACATAAGTGACCTCATAAGCTCTCGCTCAAGAGTCAACTGCGAATTGACCGGGGCAATTAAAAATAATTTCACTGGCCAAGAAAGTTAGCTCTGGTGTCTGCTACTCTGTTTCCCCACCCCTGCCAGAAATGACCACATCCACAGAAAAGCAGAAGACACTGAAATTTGCCCGAAATCTTGTTAAAACTTAAGCACGCAAAGCTCCGGAGAAGTGCTCTTAAACCTAAATATGTCCGAATATGGAAATAAGAAAAATATCCAAAAGTCGTGCTGGCGAAATGCGAACTGGAAATACCCTTAAAATGCAAATGCGCTCTAAAGAACTTGACATCATGGCAACAGTCTAACAAAAAGTAGAACAGTCTGACCGGGGATTATTGTACTTTTTTCCTTTTCATTTTTGAAAACGCCGTGGAAGCCAAATTTTTATTAAATAAGGTTAGGAATCGAACTTTTGTTTTGCTAAAAGTTTTATCTCTCGTCATTTAAATTGTAATTTTGTTGATTTAAGCTTTCTTAGTTTTAAGGAAATGGAAAGAAAACTGACTAAGCAATTCAGTAAATCGTTTCGTAGTATATAAGCCAATTTTGTTTTGGATAATTGGGGATCTTGACAATGCATATCTTATACCCAAATGAATAAAAGAAAAGGGCATTAAAAGTACATATTTTTTGTTCTGTATGCAAAATCAGCACTCGGTCTAAAGGCTTTAGGTGTACAGCCGAGGAAAGATAGTTAGGTTCATCATAACCAAATAAAAATCTAAACTTCAAACTCGATGATGTTAAAAAAGTTTTCCTTTGTAACATGGTACATATGTACGAGTATGTTTTTGTTGAAGAAAGCAACTGATAAATTGACAACTTCGGCTTATCAGGATGATTCAGGAAACTCCCCAGAAACCCTTTGTACAATATATCCATTTGAGCCTACCCAAACAAATATAAATTGAAGCAACAGTCATCGGAGGAGGGTAAATAAATATGCTCCTATGCCCCTCATCTTGCCCAGAGCCACTGAACCGAGACCTGAGAAAGTTGAACCGACTAAGGAAGGGCCAAGATGGGCTAAAAACAAGCGCTTAAGGCTTAGTTTCGCGGCATGTCCAATCCGCTGTTTACTGTCTACCTTGTCCACATACACATGTAGAACGATTTAACGAAATAACTACGTATATATAAACGATTCGGGGGACCAGCGATCCAAAGAGGAGCCCAATTCGGACTTGATAAAGTGTACGAAATATACGCGGGACAGAGGAGGAGGGCCACTAAAATAACCAGAAGAGTCCGATGGTCTGGGCTAAGCCAGAACCAGAACAAAAGAGCATTAAGCTCGGACGCCTGAGGAATGAGTCAATAATACTCCGGCACTGGGTTATTGTTAATGGTTATGTTTCGGAACGCCTCCCCCTCCGCCTCATCGACTTCGAGTTGGATTGTAATTTTTTGATGGCGCTGTTTGCCTGGCAAAATGAACAAAGTTTCTGTTGATCTATCTCACACTAACTGGCTCCAATTTTGCTTTGCTGATTTTAGATACACGCACAAAAATAGCTATAAAAATGAAAATAAAAATGAAAAGTATTGGAAACCAAGGAGTTATTATTTAAAAACCAATTACTATTTTAGTGTTTTCCGCAATGAATCAGGGACTAAGATCCAACTACTTTTAAACAGTTGCCGTAAACAAATATCCTATGAGCACTTTTATCGATTTAGATAGCTACTTAGATGATTAACGATTTAAATAGCTACTTAGATGATTAGCACCCAAGAACGTTTCTTTGTGTGTAACTACTAGGAAAGAAAAAAAAACCAGGCTTACCCAACAAAAACTGCTCAATTTCGGCCGGCTTGGTAGTTGGCTTCGAATTCATGGCTTGTAGATCGTATTATATCCGCACTTTTGTATCTTTGTATTTTGATTTTAGTGTTCAGTGTTAATTTGAGGCGATTTGCGTTAATGTGCGTTGAGTGCTAGTTGTTGCTTCGCCGATCGCTCGATTTCTCGCCCGGGCTTTATTGTGGCTTCTCTCCGATCTGGATCTGAATAGTCATCTGTATCTGGCATATCCACCAACTGCACACACGGCGTTTTGCCTTAGAAATTAACAGTTTGCTGTCAAAAGTGGATAACACATTTGTATTTTTATTAGATCACATGCACAGCAGTCACCGATGGGATGCACTATCTTTGATTGGGGAGTGGAGCGCGGGATACGACCGGAGTGCTACTGAACGTACACGCGTATTCCCATCCCCGGGCTATCAGATGCAACTACCTCCCCCGCTGAGGAGCCGTCCTATAAATAGACGGCCCTTCGATGCAGCACGGATGGATATCCAGACACCTAGATATCCAGGCATCCAGATATCCGTACGCGTCGAAGTACAATGCAATCTCTATTGCGCTCTATTCGTTTTGTTTCTGCTATTGTCTGCTATTTTCGCTTTTTCGGTTGCACGCTTCGTTTGGCGCCCCATGGAAAATCAAGCGATGACGTTATGTATGGGTATCTGGGTATCTGGGTATCTGACGGCTAGGGTATCTGGATTCGCTGGTGGGGAAACAGTTTGTGCTTGCCATTAAGCGCCATTACGAAATCCGCCTTCTTGGGCCTCTGCACTTGTCGGGTGTCTGCGTTTTTGTTTATAATTTTCATTTTTCACTCCTCTGGCGTGTCTGTCATTTGCGGTTTCCACTGTGTTGCGGCCAAGAACCGCATACAAATCGGGGGCCACACGCAGAGGAGCTCGGACCCGGGACTTGAGACCTGTGCCTTCGACTGGGCCCCTTGTTTGAGACCAAGCCTTTTAATTGTGACTCATCCGAAGGCGACGCGTGTCACCACAAAGAAGCGACCGTCTGTCCGGCGAGATGCAAAACACTATCGAACTTCTGCTGTAAAACGAGCTTAAGCTGACCAATTTGAAGAACTTCCTGCTTGGATATGAATTTTGTCCCCATATACTCGTACCCATGTGTACTATTTTTTTATGTGGAGTACAGGTTGTATTTATAATAATCCAACAACTTCTATATTTCAGAATTTCAAATATTATTCTCGCTTTTCGAAATCAGCTCGAACTTTATGAAGAAGTTCTACTGTGCAAGCGAACTGCTGACCATTTCTCTGGGCCCCACTATACACCTGCCATATGTACGTGTCCAGAGTCTGCTTTTACTTTTCGGTTCTTTATTTTTTATCGTGACCATAAAACAGAAATGTAATTTGATTTGCACCGAGCGCCCGGGCTATTTGCTTCCTTTGTGCCGGCCATTGAAAATATGTATATTTATTGATTCAGAACATTTGCAACTCGACACCGAAACACCTTTGTTTGCAATTGATAGACGAATGGCGAGCTCTCAACTGGCCGTCGTTCCGCGGAAAAGCCAAACAAACTGTTGACCAGCTGTCTTGGCCGCGCGAGACTTTTCCGGCCACGGAGCTCGGTGGAAACCTGTGCGCAGGCGTATGCGATACCGCACTGCCATCGCTCTACCCGCCCTCCCCACGCTCCCGGCGCACTTCCGGTCATTCCGACCCCGACTGGCCGGCTTCCTGCCTCCGAGGAGCCCCCAATTACGAATTAAGAAATGCATCCACGCACCGAGTTCGGTGCTGCATCCGGTTTTCCACTGCGTTCTGACTACGTTGACACCTTTTCGCTCGCGGGCGAACTTTTCGACGCCGGAGCCAAGAAGCGAGCGCGACTTTCCGGCTGGTGCGCCACCATGAATCACTCGAGCTTAACTGCCCGACTTGGGGCTCTGCCGCTCTGGGAGCTCCAGCTTGGGCAGCCACCGAGGCCACCCGAACGCAGCCGAAGTGCCCTCGGCTGTGGCTCTCTCTGCACGGCGCGAAAATGTGCCCTAATCTTGGTACTCAAAATTTAAATTAAGTCTATTACTTATTCTGGGACGATATGAAACGACTAAAAACCATAATGATTACCATCCAAAAAAGTTTCGCTTCGAATAATGGACTGCTCTCCTATTAATGTAGTCGCGTCAAAATCGAACTGATTTTTTAGCGTGCAAAAGGCAATGTGTTGCAGTGTAATATTATTATACGTTTTTGCTTTGCTTTTTCGGGGAATAAGCAGCCGGCCGGCCGGCTTGGTGGAGTTAGAGGCCCAGGCCCAACCGGCGTGCCCCTTCGGATGCCCCATCCTTGAGTAGGCACCCGAAAATTGTACCGCTCTTGCCACATTTAGAGAGCCGACCACGCTGCTGATATCATATTTTAGAGAGCATCATGCCCATTTTGGCAATGGCAAAACAGGCCGATCAACTACGGTCGAACTTCCATAAGTAGAACGTCTTATAGATACCTCATGTGCCATCAAATACATTGTTGTGTACAGTGCACATTCGATTGCCGAAGTTCTGGCTCCCCTATACTCGATATTGGAAATATTCGAGTTAATCATTAGTTTATTCAATTCTATTTCAATTAAACATTACGAATAATTGTACATATTAATATTATAACAACTTTCTTTATTTAAACACACAATCCTCCAAAATTATATACTTTCTGTAAATTAAATTTGCTATTGCTCATTCTGAATATGACACAACATGTTCGTGTCGAGAGGCACAGACTGAACCAGAAATCTTCTAATGTGGCAGGCAGATGTTGTTGCCGCAGCTGCCGAGAAATCCAAGTCTTCTGCGCAGAAAGGGAGAAGTAGAGGCATGGTTCGAAGCCGACGACAATCCGAGACTGGAGCCTTCCCCTGTTCGTGTGCTCTTTGCAATCGGCGGCAGATAAAGCGGGCTGTCCAGAGCCGATCGGCTGCCCTTTTTGGGAGCAGCTTTGAAGGACGCGTTCATGGGACGCTGTGGCAAACAACTCAATTTTAATTAAACGTTGCGCTCCGAGAAATAAATTAAGCATGCTGACCAGGTTGGCTGCGCAATATCTGGACAACCTTGGGTCCCCCGTCTGGACTTGTCTCGAGCAGCAGTGAGCAGTGATAAGTGCATAGCCGTTGCGTGATTCGACCCAGAAGACCGGGCGACTGGATAACAGGTTCCCACCTCGGCTGGCTTTATCAAGCGGCACAAAGAGTCTGATTCTAGTATTGTGCTAACGCTTAATTATGTGCCACAACAAGTATTTTCATTCTTTGTACTTTAATGCATGGCCGGGGCTGTTTTAGCCGCTACTTCAGGAATTCTTTCAGGCGGTTCTGCTGCGATTTGCTGGCGTCTTTAAACGCGTTCGACTTCAGCTGGGCGGCTAGCTGCAGCAGTACGTTCTGCTTCTGAGTTTTGGACTGCGTTTTGGGTGCGGCGGGTGCCGGCTGGGCAGGCTTCTTCTTTTTCTTCTTCGACGGCTGACTTGGGTTTTGGGCAACTATTCCGACTGGTTGGGGCGCCTTTTTAGACGGCGCTGACGATTTGGATGGCTGCTGCTGTTGCTGCGGTGCTTTTTGCTGCTGCGGAATCTTCAGGCCTGCATTGATATCTTTATTCGGCGCCTGAGAGTTCTTCTTTTTAGCCTTCTTTTTATTTTGGCCCGCTGGCGCAGGTTGTGCGGCTGCCATTGTCTCCTTCGTGGCTTTGACTTCGGCGCGTTTCCGGCCCTTCTCCAAAGGCAACATCGTCTTGTGATGGCAAACGTCGCAGTCCACGGCCTGCAAAAAGCAATTGGGTTGTGGTTAGAGTGGCAGGAATGGTTTCATATGTACATACGTAGAAGTTTAAAACACTGTATAATTAAAGATTTTTCAGATTCCTTTGTTTTCATAATTATCATTCTGCCAGAAGCTGAATCCTTTTTTTCCTCTAAGAGTTAACTAAACTATCCATCCCCACTTTTTCGCTTTTTCTACAATATTTGCTCCTAGCTCTCACCATGTTACTGGCCATACGCTTCCTCAGCCACTTGGCCCGTTTCCTGGCCCCGCTAGTCATATCGCCTTTTGCCAGCTTGCTCTTCACGGCTTCTAGCCGGGCGATAAGTCTTCGGTTCTTGGCACTCTGCTTCAGTTCTTGTGGCTGGAGGTGGAGCTGGTAGCGGCCATCCGTCCACTGGTTCCCGCAGCGGGAGCACATGCGTGCGGATCCAAAGCTGTCCTCGGGCAACTGGACATTGTGCCGGGCCAGTTTTCTGCAGGTGGTTCTGGGTTGTTTTGGAAACGCAATTTAGTGGGTGTACATTAAGAAATTAGCAACAGAACTCACATGTAATAAGATTTGAGGATCCGTTCGGTGTGGGATTGGTCGGTCAGTTTGGAGGCACAGTTCCACAGCAAATCGACTGTTTTTTGATCACCCATGACGAAAACTTACAAATTTCTGCAAATAACAAATTCTTGATAAAATGTATTGTATTCTATTTTAAAATACAACACATTAATGTAATTTGTTCTTTTATCTGGCTATTTATTTACAAAAAAACAACACAACACAACAAAAAAAAAAACAATCCAAAATTCAAGCCAAAATAGACAGCACTGACGGCACAACGTGCGCAGCTCAGCAGAAACACATAGGTGAATTTTAAGCTTAATTCCAAGTTCTAATCTTACCAACAATGCTGGTTAAATGTTCAAAGTTATACGTGAAAAATTAAACTAACAAGGCAATTTAAAACATCAATAAAAACTATTTTATAAGGCTTTAAGAGACGTAAACAGCCGTCGGGCAACTGTAACCGGAAAATATGTGCGATTAGTGAACCGGTTTAAAAACCGATGTGACAGAGCTGCCACCCTGCGAAATACGATAGTGTGGCAGCCACTGCAAACTCACCACAGGCGTGTTCTCCACAAATTCGGTATTTCATCGTGGTCAGTTGAGGGTCCTACGGCATTTGCGCGTCGTTTTGAAATTATTCAACACATCTGAAAAGCCAACCGCCGAAACGAGCAGAAGCGACGCGCATAATTTCGAATGCAAACGGACGCGCAGCCCGCCAGTAAAAAACAAACATCCGTCGAATATCGCTAACGAGGAGTGTCGAGCAGTACAGTGAATTCAATAGCATAGTGCACGCAACCACGATTCGCATTCGCATTTGCATTTGCAGCTGCAGCAACAACAATGGACCCGTTTACTCAGGTACGAGGCCAATTCGCACACAACGAAGCCCTTTGTCTGGGATTGCATTGGTGTTAGTGAGGCAGCCGCGGATTTTCACTGCCATTTCCCATTTTCCATTGCAGCACATGCTCGAGAAGGCGGAACAGCGCAGTCGCGCCCTCGGCATCAGCAACGCCAGCAAATTTCCGCTCGCCGAGTGCACCGTTCCGAGCTCCTCCGTCGCCTGCTCATCCGGCGGGGATGCTGGGGTCCTGGCCCCTAGGAGCCGGTCGCCTGGAGCTCAGAGCGCGGCCAGCGGCGGCGGCAAGGTCGTAATGTTGGGGAAGGCCACGCTGGAGGCTTCGCCGGCCAAGCCGCTGCGTCATTATACAGCAGTAAACAAGGAAAACTTGGACATGGGCATCGAAATAAACATAACCACGGACAAGCCCATTGGAGTAAGTTCTCCCTCCTTTTCTAAGTGCTTTCCTTTTGCTCATCGTTGCTGCACATCCTCCAGGTGCAAGTTGAGATCCAAGAGCAGGAGGTGACGGATGACGAAGAGCAGGAGGAAGGAGGTGCTCTAAACCCTTTGCTGGTGGCGGAACCAGTAAACCAGCCCCTAGCCAGGTTAAGGGACACTTCCCGCAGCAGACTGCAACGCATGGGTGCCCTGTACTCAAACACGGACGACCTATCCTCGCCAATCCACCGAACCGAGGGGCAGTTCCATGTGACGACGGGTGACGAAGAGGACTGTGGCAACCGTAGCAGCAGACAACCCAAACAGCGGTTGGGCAAACTGGCCGCCTTGGCGGACACTATCAACCAGTGGGAGGATGACACGTCGCACCACGAAGTGCATAGACCCCTCGAAGCACCGCCACCGAAACCGCATTTGTCCAGCCGAAGGGCCGAGAAGGGTCCAGCTCCACTGCCCCCCAAGAAGGACGAAGTCGACGAGGCTACCAGGACGAAGCAGCTGAAGTGGGATCCCAAGGTATTGAGCTCTCTGGAGGCACAAGGTTTTCAGCGCCGCGAATCGTCGACCATTAAACACACCTATGATTATGCCAAACAGGAAGAGGCTGCGCCAGCCTCCAAAGTGGAAGAGGCGGCATTCACTGCCAAGCCGCCAGTGCCGCAGAAATCAACGACGGTCAGCCAGGTCGCTAAGAACTTTGTCTCTTCCGCACCAGTGCCCAAGCCAACACCAGCGCCTGCGGTTAGTGTGAAGTCCGGCTTGGTTTCCGGACGTGCGGCTCTTTTTGAAAACAAGGGAACCGGTGGACCGACGCAAGGCCAGCGCAATCAGAAGGATCCTTGTGAGCTGTCGCTGAAGGAGCGCATGAAGCTGTTCGAAACGGGCAACAACAAAGCGATGTTGCCGATGGCGCCAATAGGATCTGCTCCCAGTATTACCCAAATCCGAGCGGAAGAGGTGAAACGTGAGTTTAGCAGTCCATTAATTATCATAATAGCATACTCATTTTTCTTTGTTAACAGAACATTTAGCTACAGTGCATCCGGTGACAGCTGCCGCTGCTACTAACGTGGTTGCAGCAACCAAGCCAAAACCAGAAAGCAAGCTGCGTGACAAGGTGGCCGCTTTGGTAGCAAATGCGCAATCAAGTGCAGAGACGCGTATCAAGGACATTGATCGCCAAAGGCAGGAAGATATGCAAATTATTTCAAATCGCTTTAACAAACAAAAGGAGCTCTTCGACATTCAACCATCCGTCAGTTCTGGGGCTGCTCAAGCTCGACCTCCCGCGCCAGCTCCTAGCAAAGTAGTGCGGCCCATGCCACCGCCTCCACCGCCGCCCATCGCTGGTCTCTCACCCGGAATAGCCAGCAGCAAAAGGCGATCACGTAAGAAATGACTAAACCCTTCTTCTAAGGACTTGTCCTTATGCATCCGCAATTTCAGCTGGTGATGCGCCCGTCACTGACGATGATTCGAAGCGAGCCCGCAAATCGCATTCAGATCGACTGTATCCAGCTCTGTCCGACCTCGACTCCAGCGGTGACAACTGCTGTGCCGCCGAAACTGCCTCCGCTACGGATGACAGCCATCAACTAGATGAGGAGGAAACCGAAAGGTGCGCTGACAAATGCTACTCCTGCTTGCTATTTCTGCTTTGCATCGAGTAGCATTCTAAGACTGATAGGCCTAAGACACATAGCTTTAAACCCCATCCCCTAGACAAGACCAACAATAAAATCGCTTTCTTAACTAACCGTTTATCTTTGATTCGTGCAGTTGCATGGATGAGTCCGAGGACCAGTCGCAGACTGAGGACAGTAGCGCCGGCATGTGCAATGGCAGTCTTGGCCGCGAGATAATGAGCACAGTGCAGCGCAACGAAGCGGAGATGCAGCAGCAGCCGGGAAAGAAGGTAAGTGCAGGTAGAAACTGGCAACACAGCGGGTGGTCTCCATTAACACAATTTCACACCTTTCCAGACTGTGCGCTATGCGGACCAGGACATGTATTATGATGACAGCTCTCTAAACTCGTCGCAGGTCTCTGCGGGCATTGACGATTATCTGGATGAAGCACTTGTCGAGGATTATGGCAGCACTCAGGATGACCAGAGTGACAGTGGGGATGAGCATAATAGTAGTCGGCTTTCCTTGGGCGTGAGTACTTACTTAATCAGATTATTTGTATATCAAAGCAACAAATTATAACGTACGTCTCTTCTTAAATTAAATTTGCAGAGCAAAGGAACCACGGCCTCAAACAGCTTTTCCTTCCGAAAGAATCCTGCCTCTTCTTGCACGCCTATCGAGGAGCATCATGAGATGATGGACCTGCAGACGCCGCTGCTTAGTGGTGTCCAGCCGGTCAAGTCAGAGTTGAGTGTTAACCAGGACAACGACAATCTGGTTACCCTGGTGCACACAGTCAGCTTCTATCGCCGCCAGCAGAGCGCCAACGTAAGATAATTAATTATATCACAAACAAAATTCTAAGTAATCGTGGTTTTTAGAGCTCCAACTCCACACCGGTTCGCAAGATCTGTCGAGAGCAGCAGGTAATGCGATCAGCCCTAGCGGGCGATTGTCATGCCAAGCACAGACTGGAGTACGACTCTCCTCAGCAAGTGGATTACGCCGCAGCAGCAACTGACATAGTTGATCAGACCGACGAGGACGATGAAGAGATGCAAAATGCGCGGGAAGTAAACGATGCCTCGCAGGCACAAGACAAGATCAAAAAGCTGTTGAGCGAGGTGTGCAAACAGCAGCAGGTGATAGGACAAGCCAGTCAGGCCCTGAACCTTTGCGCTGCCACTGTAGAGTTCTCCGGCTCCACAGAGTCCGTGGAGGGAGAGCGATATCTCCTACTTGCAAGTACGTTTTTTACGCTTGTTTATCTGTATTTTCTTCGAGTATTCCTTAGATTAACGCTTTGCCTTATTCTTGTTCGTTGAATTCCAAGGCCCCTAAAGCCCCAATGTCAAATTTAGCTTACATCTCGTATCCTTGCAGCCCATCGACGCCAGGCGTGTTTGGATGAGGTTCAGCGTTTAAGAGTTGAGAACAGTATTCGTCCGGTGGGCGCACCAAAAGAGAAGGGCCTTCTGACGGTCAAGGACATAACTATTCCTCTGCGACAGGAGTACGTGCGTAAAATGGCCTCAAACAACATTAACGGTCATCATCTTGTGTGTCTTCTGAAGTACAATGAGCACGTGCTGGCCACCAAGACAGTACCCACGATGCCTGGGTTGCTATCTGTCAAGTTTCCCGATGTCCTGCAACTAAATAATGTATACGCTGACTTCAGGGTAAATATTGTAACACTTTTTATAGCAAATATTCTTTCTAAATGAGAAAAATTCGCTTGCAGATCACGCTAGAAATCTATGGCATGTTAGCCCAACGCGATCAGCTGCCGCACGAGCTGAAGTACCACATCAACTTGAACAAGAAGGGAGGCATCAAGACCCCAAAGAAAAAGGGTGGGGAGAATCGACTGGTTATGCCACCTGTACAAAGTCCGGCGGGACCGCATGTGGTACGGACGCCGCAGCTGGTGCAATACGGCTTTGCCATTTTCTCGCTGCGGGAAATTCAACGCACTACATGGACGCTGACCCAGGTGCTGGGCGTCAGCCCACTGGAGGGTGTGGTTCATATGAAGGTCAACTGTGAACTATCCGTAAGCGTGGAGTACAAGGGATTCCTTACCATGTTCGAAGACATCTCCGGTTTTGGGGCATGGCATCGTCGTTGGTGCTATCTGAATGGCTCCGTAATCAACTACTGGAAGTACCCGGATGATGAGAAGCGCAAGACGCCAATGGGCAGTATAGATCTGAATGCCTGCAGTTCCCAGAAGGTGACCACTGCACCGCGCGACATTTGCGCCCGTCTCAACACCATGCTGCTGGAGTGCGAACGACAAGCGCTGGAGACGGACCAAGAGTCCTTGATAATCGTACCCAACGGACGTACCACCACGGTGCGCCATCTCCTCTCAGCCGACACAAAGGAGGAGCGCGAGGAGTGGTGCGCCTACCTTAACAAGGCACTGACACTGCTGCGCGCCTGGGGAACCACCCACTGACCCGATGACCCATTGCAATCTTGTCAGCAGCACGGACAATGACAACAAACGGGCGGGTTGTTAAAAGTTTTCTCTTTTTAAGTTACTCAATTTATTATTTTAATTGCGTTCGCATTCGTATTAA